TTAATTCCCATACATACAGGTATGCCTCCTGGTTCCTTTACTCTATCTATTGCGAGTCTGACTAACCTCATTGCTTCCCGGCACTTCTCTTGGCCAATTAAAGCTTGTGCCTCAGTTCGAAGAAAAGGTCCCAGACCCATGAGCTCATTTACAGTGACACCGTGCAAAGGGTCACCTGGCTGTCTTTGAACAGCTACGCACTCATTTACAAGTCCTTGCCAGTGGGCATTAAATAACAATTGTTGATGTTGGGTAAAAATTAATTTTACTATACCACGGCAATCATTAACAAGGAGAATGCTAGTGTCAAAAATATAGTCTAGCATTTGCCTAGCTGGCTCGCTTTTAAAACCAAACTGGCTGACAGTCGCTCGTAACTGAGATAACATTTTCCAGTCCAGAGCACTGATCGTCGCCTGAAGGCCCCCCCCCGCCTGGGGGGTAAAGACAACTGGACAAGCCAGCTCGTTAGCCATGCTCATTAGCTCCCGGTCTCCCTTGTCCATGGCATCTTTGGCCAAGGCTGCCCATGCATCTCTTCTATCCCGAGCAATCGTCACCGCCAAATCGTTTTCCGACCCAGGGACCGACTGATTGCTTTTTGGGAACGGAGTATGCGTTTGTGGCCCCGGCTGCTGTGATATAACAGACACAGGAGAGGCAGAGGCGCTCTGTGTAGCCTGCGGCAACGCGGGCAATAAAGCACCCTGCTGAGCACCCTGCTGAGCTTGGCTCGTTAAGGGTAATAAAGCGTTTTGCGAAGCTTGACTTATTGGGGGAGGCTGACTTGTTAAAGGAGGCGGCGAAACAGGTAATACAGCGCTCTGCAAAGCGTGACTCACCGGAGCCTGGCCCGAAACCTGGCTCGCAGCTTGGCTCGGAGCCTGGCTCAGAACCCCGCTCGCAGCCTGGCTCGGAGCCTGACTCGGAACTCCGCTCGCAGCCTGGCTCGCAGAAGGAGGCGGCGAGGCTGGTAATAAAACCGTCCTCGATGCAGGGCCAAGAGGAGTGCCGGAGTCCTTATCAAACTCCCTATCTCGATCGTATTCTGCATTACGATCATGAGCGGCAGTAGCCTGGCGGGCAGCCCTTTTTTCAGCTTGAAATTGTAAGAGCTCAGTGTTAATGACCCGCCATAACTTACCCAACCTCCTGGCAGTTTTATCATCATCCAAAGTAGCCTGCCACAATAAATCACCAAATTTACCCCACTCAGATAATTCATGGATAGTATGAGGATTAACAAAGATTCCCCTCTCTACACCGTATGCTAAGAGCCCTGGTAACTCTTTCTGTAAATCAATTCCCTTAATCTGCCTCTTTTGCAGAAAAGTTATAAAAAGATCATATGCGGCTTGTCGGTCCATCTCTAAATAAAATTGAGCGCTCTTTGCAGCACCTCCCGACCTCGGCCACACGTACCAAGCTAGGACACGTCTTTACGCTCGCCTAGGGCCGGCACGAATCGACAGACTCCGTCCGCTCCGTCGGCAGACTCCGTCCGTTTTTTTATCGTGCTTATTGCCGTTCCGCTGCTGCATCTCGGAACCTGGACACCTTCCTCACCTCCCGTGGTATTCCGTTATCCCCAAGAGCGCTCCTCGTAATTCGGCACGTCCGAATTCGACTATCACGTCCGGGGTCGACCATTTGTTGGAGAGTGAAGGGAGAATCGACCATAGTTATGCATCGAAACTCAACTTTATTGATCAATCAATCACCTTATATAACAATACTAATGAACTTCATGAATATTCTGTAATCCAACTCCATGATAGGCTAACAGAGAAAACTGTAACCACACCTTTTGTTTTAGAATACCTACAATTGTTTATCATAAGCAGAAACCAAAACAGAAACCCGAAACTACAACAGAAACTAGTGTTCCCAAAACCTCTGCATCTGTTCCCAGGATAACAGGCCTTCCCAAGGACGGTGTTCTGCTTGCCATGGGAAGACAAGCTGAGAACTCCATTGTTTATAGAATGATGCCTGAGAGAGTCTAATTGTTTACACAAATCAGAAGGCTGAGAGCTGTTAGAAACTGCTTTTACTTTTACCTCTTACTTTTCTCTCAATTGTATGTTTCATGGCCTTTTTCTTTAAGCCATTCTTGAACTAACCTCTCCACAAATGGACTCCTTGGTTTCATACGGACACAAATTGCCACAATGGCCCTCTGGTTTCACAAGGCCTCAAAGCGTAAAAATGGCCTCCATGGTTCCATGATGTCCTGCAGCAGAGCAATGGTCTCCTTGGTTCCACAGTGTCAGAATGGCCCCTTTGTCCCATGGAGCCCCACAGTGTCGCTCTGGTTCCCTTGATTCCATGAGGCCCAGAGGTGTCACAATGGCCCCTTGGTTCAAATGGGTTCCAAATGGCCAGATCGGTCTCCATGGTTCCATGAGGGCCCGCAACCTCCCAATGGACCCTTGGTTCCAAGGGTCCTGCAATGTCACAAGGCTGCCTTAGTTCCACGAGGCACTGCAGTGTCGTGGAGGCCTCTTGGCTCCATGAGGCAAAGCAGAACCAGAATGGCCCCTTGGTTCCAAGGAGCACGATGGTTTCACCATGGTCCCTTTGGTTCCACAGGGCCCCTCAGTGGAACAATGGACCTTTGATTCCATGAGGTTCCTCAGTGTCTCAGTGGCCCCTTGGCTCCATGTGGCCCCACTTTGTCACAGTTCCAGGTGGTTCCATGAGGTCCCACAGTGTCCAAATGGTCTCCTTGGCTCTGGGAAGCCCCACAGAGCCACAAGGGACTCTTGGTTCCAGAAGGCCTTGCTGTGTCACAATGGACTTTTGGTTCCAGGAGCTTTCACACTGTCAACAATGGTCTGAGCACTGCAGTGTCACCAGGGATCCATTGTTCCATGAGGTTCCAGAGCATAACATGATCTCCTTAATTCTGGAAGGTTCTGCAGTGTCCCAATGGACCATTGGTTCCATGCAGCCCCACACTGTCACAATGACCCCATGGCTCCAGGAGCTTCCACAATGTCAGCAATGGTCTCCTTGGTTCCACAAGGCCTTGCTCTGATACAATGGACTTTTGGTTCCATGGGGTTCCAATGCATCACAATGGACACTTTTTTCCATGGGGTTCCACAGTGTCACAGCTGAGTCCTTGGTTCTGTCAGCCTCTGTGTCACCAAATGTCCAAAATATCAGATTAAGCCTCCTTAACACTCATTTGCTATTTCAGAGGGGATCATTTCTTCAGGCCTGAGGCCCAACATGGGATAACTGCTAACCTTACATGGACATGTAATTCTACCATTGTGTTGCTCATATACAGTCGCTAAATGTGAATTACAATTTACCTGTTTCCATTAAACCCATCCCAAGTTCCCAGATTCTCTGTCCCTGCACCCATGAGCCATATGTCTTCTTCTTCTCTTCCAGCCATCCTTGCTGGGAAGCCTGCCTGGTTCCTGTGCTGAAAGTTCAAAGGCATGAAATTGGAATGAACCCTTTTGGTATTAGCCCCAGGCTTTGTGTGGGCAGGCAGAGGCAGGCAGGAGGCAGATTGTCACAGACATCTTTTCATAAAAATCCTTTCTTTTAGGATTTGTCCTTTCTGGGAAGCTGAGGCCTCAGAAAAAAAATGTAAGCAATTATTATCTGCTGTTGTGGAATGTAACAGATGCATCTGTGATTGGTCTTCTGTGAGTGTTTGGATTTACTGACCACTCACAGGAGAGATTGTCCTGCTTTCTGTCTGGACACAGAAACTTGTTTGTAGATTCCTATTCTATTCTTAGCTTAGCAGCTTCTGCAACTTCTCTCTCTATTCTTATTAGTATAGTCATAAAGTATTATATATCATATATTAATAAATCCAGCCTTCTGATAATGAAGCAAGATTCTCGTCCATCTCTCTCACCCTCTCATCCTGAGGAACCCTCTCAAGTCACTTCAATATCTGGTGACCCCTCATGTCAGAGCAAAAATTAATTTGATAAGACCAGAGGAGCAAATTGCTGCACTGGGTAAAATCCTGTATGTGTAGCATTTGATGGTTGCTTTAGAAGTGATCACAGAAGTGGATTCAAGCCAGGAGCTGAAGAACTGAAGATCCTGATTTGGACAGAGTTCTCAGCCAAGGCTGACCACAAATGAACCTTCTTCTGAAAAACCTTCAGGACAATGTTAGAAAAGAGCAGCAGAACCGTGGAGCTGGCCAGAGCATGCTGGACTCTTTCAAAAGGTACTGTTGCCTTTTCTATCCCTGAGGATTCAGCCTTGCGTAGTTTGTGGCTGTTCATATGGGGGACACACTCCTTGGAGGAAGAGGTTCGTTTCTCTCCTTCAGAGGAGAATCTTATTGCCCTCTGGCAAAAATGGAGTGCAGAGGATGGACTTTTCCTATCAGCAACAGATCTCTATGAGTTCTTTCGATGGGCAAAGCTTTTTGGGTTCTTTGCTGATGTGCTATATGCCTTGGATGTTTTCGTGTGGGAGTGCATGGACTCCATTTTCCAATTCGTTCGGGGTCAGGGGTGCGACTTCCCTCCTGTCTACCCAGCATTTAGAAAGCTCTTCCCAGTTTTGAAACGGAGAGCAGCTGTTTTTCCATGGATTTCTAACTGCTATGGGCTTGCTCCGTTCCCCCCGTCCCCAGCGGGAGAAGACCCGGTGGGGGATGAGATTCTGCTTTCCAGCCCCCACTGCTTCGCGGTGGGGGGGGTGAAGCTTTGCTGTGCGAAGAGGTTTATTTTACTCTTTCTCCGGAGCCTGCGCAGATGGAGCCGTCTCTTCCCCCACCTTCTCCCTTGTCGGCGGGATGGGAGGGGGTGGCGCCGCTCAAGCCAGCGCCGCAGCCGCCTCCAAGACCTGCGCTGCCTCCGCCTCTGCCGGCCTCTTGGGCCCCACCCCGCTCAGAGATGGGGGTGGTACTGGTCCCCGAGCCCCCCCACCCCTGCCAGCACTGCGGCTGCCTCTCCGGGCGATCCCGCCCACGGGTTCACCGGCTTACCCGCCTGCGTCTGAGAATTCAGAAACAGCGCTTCCAGCGCATGCATCTATGTGGCTAGGAGACGCCCTCGACAAAAACACAGACTTGGCGCCGCCTTCCCGGGTGATCCTGGCTCCGCCTCTGCTGGCTTCCCTGTTTGCGCCGATGTTGCCAAGCAACAGTGATCATCCGCCACCGCTTCTTCCGGCTGCTCCGGCGCTGCCCGTGGCTGTTTCACCGCCGCCCCTCCCGGCTGTTTCGCTGCTGTCCGTGTGCGTTCCACCGGCGACTGCATCTTGGCGGCTGACTTCAGAGTCAGCGGCAGAAGATGGCGGCGACCCCGTGCCATGCCTGCAGCCGCTTTCAGAGCCAAGGGACAAAGCAGCGGCATGTTCCCGCGCATCCCCAAGGTTTCCTGCAGCTGAGCCATTGTTGCTAGGCGACGAAGACGCGTCTGCAGTTTCCAGCTCAGCGGAGGAGGAATCCTCTCCAGCCTCCTTGGCCTCCCCGCCGCTTGCACCGGCCACCCCAGCAGTTCTGCCGCTGTCGGAGACTCTGTCCTCCGTGTCTGCGTCAGAGGCTGCCCTGGAACCGGCTGTTTGTTCGAGCTCGGACCATCCCGGACCGGTTGCCTCTGTAGCAGCGGGCCCGGCGGCTGGTCTCTCCTTCCGTGGAGCGGGGGGTGCTCGCCAGCTGACTGTGGGGGCAGTGCGTCTGCCTGCATTCAAGATCAGCATTCTCGGTGGGCTGGGGGGTGTTTTGTCGGGAATTGTCCCATGGAGGCTGCCATCTCTGCCGCCTCTCTTGCGCCCCAGCAGCGGGGGGCAGGTGCATCCCGAGAGTTCTACCTTTGGTCTCCAGCCCGCAGGGGGTGGGGGTGATGCCATGGGGCGGATGGGAGACACACCTGATGCATTTGCATTGCAGGGGAAGAGGGCACAGATGGAGGAGACCATAGCTGGTTTGCAGTGGGGAACAAACATCTCCAGACCCCAGATGGGATTTCTGGGGAAGGCTTCTGTTCCCTCGCTGCTGGCATGCCTCAGTGGTTTTGGGAAAAGGAAGCGTGTCCCCACCCGTGCTGCCATTGTACTGGCAGCAGGGTGCAGGCCTGTGGGAATGCAGAGCCTGTGTCATGGGTTTGGCCTGGCCTGTTGGGCTCAGGAAGTTTCTGGGCCAGGGCAACTGCATGGCCTCCTGATGTTTCTGGGGGTTGTGGTTTCTCCTACCGGTCCTGGCCCCCCTTTGTGGGCCAGTTTTGGGTTTCCTGGTCCATCATGGGCCAGGGCCCCCAGGGCCTTTCCTTCTCTGGCACTGCTCTCCTCGGCTGCTGCTCTTTTCCTTTTCGATCAAAAAAAAAAAAATTAAAATTAAATAAAAAGATTGAAAATAGCGGGCAGCAGCTCTGAAGCACTGAAGCATTGAAGGGCCAGAAAAGGACATTCCAAAATTGTTCAAATTGTTTGAAATTGTTTGAAATTGTTGTAAGACTGTCAATGGTTTGTGATAACTATTGATGGGACTTTTGCAGAAGTCTCTTTCAGGACAAAAAAGGACTCTCAGATATTCCAAGAGAAACAACTTCAGCTCATGGACTGTTCCTGAAACTCATCTGCTTAGACTTGAATTTTCTTTGCATTGTTTTTTTTGCATTTTCTTAGATTGTAGGATTGCTTTAGTGATTTGTAAGTATTGTATATTTTACAGGTGAAGAAATTTCCTGTTCATTTTACATCAGCATTTTTCCTTTTAATTTATACAATTTAGAAAGGTGAGATGTCGCAGACATTTTTTCATAGAAATCCTTTCTTTGGGACTTGTTCATCTTCTGGGAAACTGAGGCCCCAGAAAGAGAATGTAAACAATGATTATCAGCTGCTGTGAAATGCAATAGGATGCACCTGTGATTCGTTCATGTTCCATGTGTACAATTAAGGGCCAATCACAGGGCAAGCTCTCTGGAACACAGTGACAGAGAACTCTCTTGTTTTTAGATTCTTTTCAATTCTATTCTTAGCTTAGCAGCCTCTGCAACTTCTCTCCTTATTCTTTTTAGTAAAGTTATAATGTATTGTACATCATATATCAATAAATCCAGCCATCTGATCATGAAACAAGAATCTCGTCCTTCTCTCACCCTGGAGACCTCATCAGGTCACTGTAATACCAGACGGTCCTGGGCACTTGGGAAGGGCAGACATGGAACTAGTCTGCAAACAGGGCAGGGAGGGGGACTGGGAGAGTCACAGCCTGCTCAGGCTCAGCAGGAAAGGGGATGTGGCAAATCCTCCTGCAGCCATTCCAGGCACTGGCAGGACAGGGCAGGGACTGCAGAACCCACGTGGGAGGGAACAGAAGGGGATGTTGTGTGCCCAGACTTCAGCCAGGCCTGGGACAGGGTCTGCTGTGGTCTCCTCAGAGCCAGACTGGAGAGGGCTGGGCTGAAGGAGTGGAACATGGGCTGGGTGGGAATTTGGCTGAACAATGAGGGTCAAATGTCATCCATGGTACAGAGTCCTCTTGGCAGCCACACCCTGGTGACATCCCTCATTGACCAGCCCTTGGCCACCACTGTGGAATATTTCTAGCGTCTCTAAAATGGCATGAAATGTACTTTCAATTCCTTTATGAATGCTGCCAGATTGCAGGGAGTCTGTGACTGAACTCATCTCATTAATGGTGACTGCAAAATGTAACTGGGCAAGGTGACTGAGTTGGGTAAATTTATCTTGCCATCAGGTGCCAAGCAAGCCACAATAAAGGGCAGAAAAAACTTATGCATCAGAAGAAAGTCAGTTCAATAGGGAAAAACCCAAACCCAAACAAAAAATAAAAACCCCAAACCCAATCAAAAAAAACCAAAGCAAGACCCACCCACAACAACACAAAATCCCCACAAACAAACCAACCACAAAAAGAAAAAGCCACAAATAGAAAAAAATCAAATTCACAGGATATCTCCTATCAGCAGAAAATGTTTAACCAACTTCTGGCAGGAGAGGATTCTGTATGTGTAGGTGCTGTTTGGAAAGAAAAATATCTGAAAAAAGAAATTAATCTCCTAATCCCCTCGTCCCCCTCCTCCCCCCCGATTTGATTACTGATCATGGTGTGACACGGAATGGAACATCCCTTGGGTCAGTCCAGCCCAGCTGTCCCATCCCTGTTCCCCAGGAACACTTACCCACCCCAGGCCCATAGGTTGGAGGGGGTTGCAGACGCCTCATGCGGGGCGAGCACTGAGACAAGGACAGGAGAACAGAACAACATTTACTCTTGTCAAGGACAGTAGAACAGAACAGCTCAGCCTTGGAGAAACTGATTGAGGATGCACCTCTGGCACGCAGAAGTCACACACAATACAAGCAGGATGCCAGCACAGCTCTGCAAGGCTAACAAAACAGAAGTTATGCAAAATAATAATATTGCCGTTACTCAAAAGGAGGGGTCAAGGAACAGCCACCTAAAAAGGGCACTGGATGTTGAAGACAAAACACAAAGAACCATGAAAGGATTTGTGATAAGGGGTGCAACTATGTCAAATAAACTCAAAGGAAGTGGGGATAGCTCATCAATACAGAATGAATGTGTGTGATAAAAACTCTGATCATTCAATGCCTAATGCACTCCAATGGAGGAAGGATGGCCCAAGTGACCACCATGCTGTAATAAAGAATACCTGCTTTCAAATACTCAAAACTCTGTTCAGAAGTTTCTATCCAGAGGGTTTCAGTATCAGTTGTATCCTTGACTCCATTATGCCCCACAGTTTCATAATGGCTCCTTGGCTCCATGAGGCCCTGCTGTAGAACAATGGACCCTTGGTTCCATTGGGTTCCGTACTGTCAAAATGGCCTCCTTGGTTCTGCACTGCCACAATGCTCTCCTTGATTCCACAAGGCCGTGGTGTGTCACAACAGCCCCTTGGTTCCATCAACTGCCAGAGTGTCACCCTGGTCTCTTGGATCTGCAGCGTCACAATGGACAATTGGTCACAAGCATCCCTGCTGTGTCACCATGAATAATTGGCTCCATGGAGCCCCACAGTGTCACAATGGCCCCTTGGCTCCACGAGGTTCCACAGCATCACCATGGTCTCCTTGGATCCACAGTATTTCCATTTACCATTGGTTCCATGTGGCCCTGCTGTGTCACAGTGCTTCCTTGGTTCCATGAAGCCCCACTGCATAGCAATGGTATCTTGCTCCTGTGAAGTTCTGTACTGTCAACAATGGTCTCCTTGGTGCTGGACTGTAACAATGGACCCTTGGTTCCACGAGGTTCCATGATGTCACAATGGTCTCCTTGGTTCCATGAGGTTCCATGATGTCTCAATAGTCTCCTTGGTTCCGTAGTGTAAAAATGGCTGCATGGTTCCATAAGGTTTCTCTGTGTCCCAATAGTTTCCTTGCTTCCATGAGGCTCTGCAGTGTCACTATGTCCCATATTTTCCAGGAGCTTCTGTCCAATCAACCATGTCCTTTGTTCCAATGAGGCCCCGCAGTGCCACAACGGCCCCTTTATTTCATGAGGTTCCATAGTGTATCATGGTTGCCTTGGTTCCAAGAGGTTCCCCAGTGTCACAATGGCCCCTTGGCTCCACGAGGTTCCACAGCATCACCATAGTCTCCTTGGATCTGCAGTATCTCCATGGACCATTGGTTCCATGTGGCCCTGCTGTGTCACAGTGGTTCCTTGGTTCCATGAAGCCCCACTGCATAACCATGTAATCTTGGTCCTGTGAGGTTCTGTACTGTCACCATGGTCTCCGTGGTTCTGGAGTCTAACAATGGACCCTTGGTTCCATGAGGTTCCATGATGTCACAATTGTCTCTTGCTTCTGGACTGTAACAATGGACCTTTGGTTCCACGAGGTTCCATGATGTCACAATGGTCTCCTTGGTTCCACAAGGCCTTGTTTTGTCACAATGGACCCATGGTTCCATAAGCTTCCATGCTGTAACTATGGTCTGCTCAGATCCACATCGGCACAATGGATAATTGGCTCCATGGGCCCTGCTGTGTCACAATAACCCCTCAGTGTCATGAGGTTCTGTGGTGTCACCATGGTCTGCCTGG